AAAGGAAACGGAATATATAGCGGAGGATTTCAAAGCGGAAATCGCTCATACGTTTTTCGACGTTATGTGAAGTCTAATAACGATGTCAAAGGTCGGTGCATGACGTGTAGGAAATCAATGTCACGATATCATGCATGGAGTCTCAATCCTATAAGCCACTGCCAAACTGCCGTTAACTTTAAAAATAACGTAAGGGCAGTGACTTAGTGATATACCAAGCTAAATCTCACTTGCACTTATAATTTTAGACTCAATTAATCCAAAAGTAATACGATTTTTGTACGGTACTTTCTCGCAATATCAATATGGCGGTCATCGAAAAATCTTTCGCATGGAGTCTCAATCCTATAAGCCACTGCCAAACTGCCGTTAACTTTAAAAATAACGTAAGGGCAGTGACTTAGTGATATACCAAGCTAAATCTCACTTGCACTTATAATTTTAGACTCAATTAATCCAAAAGTAATACGATTTTTGTACGGTACTTTCTCGCAATATCAATATGGCGGTCATCGAAAAATCTTGCAAATTAGCAATCTTCGGGGCAGTCGTATCGAAAAACTAAAAAAGATCCCAAAGAAATGAAAATGAAACATAAAACTTCTATCCTTAAACTGTAGAGAAAGCTTAGTCTGAGGATATATTTTGGCGTACCAACCGGATTTTTAGGCAAGTCTTTTATGTCACTTTAGAGCGATTCAGAAAAGGCAACGAACTGCCTTCAACGAAAAGCTCTCTACGAGTCATATGAAATAAATTATCAGTCATTATAGACAATATTTAATTGACCAAGGGACAAGCTATTTATTCATAGTAAGAAATCATTTATAGGCTTTACCCCGCAAACTTGAAAGAGTCACGAATATAGTAAAATTTCGGTTCATCAGAGAGGTCATTTTGGTGCAAAACGGACCCAACCGATTTTATTTAATTCCCCTTATGAACGCAAAAATTAGACAAAACTAACCCTATTTTGTTAACTACCATACAATACTCTATCAATGTAAAAAGTATCAGCGAAAACGAATTTTGAGCTGTGTCCGTGATTTTGGGATTATCTCCGATTCTTACTGACATTGACTCTTAAAGGCGTAATCAAAAGAGTCACATGAAGATTAAGGTTAAAATTTAAATCGAGAGTAACGCACTTACGTGACTGGTCACGCACGTTTGAATCTTACATACCGGCCCCTAAATGCGACCTGAGCATTTAAACTTAGTTGTGTGATTCAAACGGAACAAACTTGAATAATATATATCGTCACTAAAATTCATTCGAAATTGTTCATCATAATCAAGTCAATAAAGAAATAACTGTTCTCCGAAGTTGCAAGCAGAACTCTTCGCGGACTGAGGACACCAAGATCAACAATGCTTAGCTGCTCTCATGGAGTGTAGGAGCCTCTAGTAGAACGATCTTATCGATAGGACGTTCCAGTACTGCCGATTTGGGTTCCAATGTGACTCTCCTAACAAGCCCGTCTCCCTTGTTTGGTTTTACTTCCAGGATGCAACCAAAGAGCCAACTTCAAAGTTACTTGTTGGTCTTGACCACTTCTGTCATTCTTGTAAACTGGGAAGAAAGTCCTTGAGCCACCTTCGCCAAAACACGTCTTATAGGTATTTTATTTGGTGCCACCTCCGACGAGAATAGAGATCTCCTTTTCTAAAAATCCTGGGAGGCAGTGTAAAACCTGACTGCAGTAGTAGAAGATGATTTGGCGTAAGGGCTTCAAGGTCTCGTGGGTCGTCAGGCAACTTTGTTAGGGGTCTGCTATTGACTATATTTTCCACCTCGCACATAAGTGTTGCCAGTCCTTCATCTTCAAGGACTTGTTCCCTCAGAAGGGCATTGATTGCCTTTCACACGGTGCGAATGCAGCATTCCCATATGCCACTGTGGTGAGAGCCTGCAGGGGGGTTGAAAATCCACTGAATGCTTCGTTGGAGAAGGAATTCTGTGATCGCTTCCTGGCTCCAGTCGTTGATAGCACCTCGGAGCTCCTTCTCGCCTCGTACAAACATTTCTGCCATTATCTAATCTCATCTGCTCTGGCTTTCCTCTTCTGGCGATGAAACGACGCATGCTGTTGATGAAGGAGTCTGTGTCCAGGCTGTCGACTACCTCAATGTGGATCGCACGTATGGTTAGGCAAGTAAACAGCACGCCATATCTCTTGACTTTACTCCTCCCGCAACGAACCAGAAAGGGACCAAAGCAGTCAACTCCGACATAACTGAAGGGGGGTTTGTCTGGAGTGATTCTATCCTTAGGCAGGTTTGCCATCTTTT